AAACTCTAGCTTTCTGCCCCCAGGAGCCCCAGGGGGCCCCAAGAGTGCCCCAAGAGGCCCCCAGAGGCCCTCACGAGGCCGCCCAGACGCCCCAAGGAACCCCCAAGAAGCACCCCAGAGGCTCCGAAACGGCCCCCAAGTGGCTCCAAAGCTCGCGGTGTCGCCGTCCGCTCGGACCCCCCCGCGGAACTGCCCGAGACCCTCTGGCGGTGGCGGCGAACAGACACCAAACAAATATCACTCGCCTTTTCACCCCTTCGCAGCCTCTACTACCCCCAGATTGGCATAAACAAGGGGTCGGCGCTGTGGCGTAAGCCTAAGAATCACGGCGGGTTTTGACAGTGTTCTGCCTCTGGGGGCCCCTGCTGGGCCCTGGGGCCGTCCGACAACGACTCAAGGCGAGAATCCAGCCCCCAGGAAAATCACGGTGTGAAAAGATCACGACGTCGGGTGTCAGGGCTCCCTGGGGCTACCATTCCATCCTCAGTCGTTCCGTCGACGGTCCAGGGGCGGGGAAACGGCCCCCAAAGACCGAAAGCATAGAAAAAACGTCCGCCGGCATCTTTGATGCGACGCCTGGGTCTGAGGAGTGGGCGGATACCAGGCCTCCCAAGCAGAACCGGGGGTCAAACGTCGACACCCTGATCCAGCCTGGGGTGCCATCTGGCCAGAATGCCGACCACGGCGACGAGGGCGCCCAAGAGGCCAGAGAAGGGCGAAGAACACCTCAAAACCTCAATGCTCGAGCCCCTTCAAATCCTCGAGGAGCAGCGACGGTCGAGGCTCCCTCCTCTCCGACGGTGGAATTTGTTCGCGACGTGGGCCACCAGAAAATATCGACCCCTTCCGAAGGGCGGGCTCTTCGTCCTGAGTAGCTTTTCTGACAGTCCTCGGGCAGGGACACGACCCCCGGGGGACCGAAAACGTAGAAAAAACTGCGGCTGCGAAAGTTGCTGCGACGCCCGGATCTGAAGGTCTCGTCCGCGGTTGCGATAAGGAACCCCCAGGAGCGGATATGGCCCAACTGGGCTACATCCGCTCGGGGTTCCTTTGCGCAGCCGCCGATCCTCGTTCTCATCTGCTCCTGGCTCATTTGCGATGCCTTCCACGAGGCTCCCCGGCGAATACGTGCAGTGCCCGCTCTGGGGCTGCCCACTCCCCTTGCCTCGGCCGACTTCGGGGTCGCCGCCGCCGCCCTCGGCCCGGCTGGGCGGGGGGGCCGCGCTCATGGGGGGGGGGCCAGCCGCGCGCGGGGGGGGGGCCCCACACGCGCGCGCAGGCCGCGGGCACGGCGCCCCTGCCTCGGGGCAGAGAGGCAGGAGGGGGGCGGGCGACGTCGCCCGGGAGGAGGAAGATCGGACTGGCAAAAGCCAGGATCGCTCGCGCAGGAACGCCCCACTCGGCTGCGTGAGCGACGGCGGCTCCGACGGCCCAGCACTGGCGTGCCGAGACGGTGGAAACAGATGTTCTGAGTTTTAGCCCTGCGCCGTCAACATCAGCGGAGGCGGAACGCGCCAGGGTGATGGAAAGGAAGGAGGGGCGAGGAGGGTGGGCCCAAACGTGCTCGAGGGGTCCTCGACGCCCAGGGCCGCGACTCCGACGCGGTGGATGTGGATACCTTCCGTTGTGGTGGACGGGGAAGAGAGAGCGAGGGGGAGAGGGTCCAGCCAGATGCGCTCGCGCCATGTCTGACATCCTTCCCCTCCCACCCATCTCTTCCCATTGCGCTGTTTTTTTCCTGTCCGCCGACGAACCCCCAAAAGGACCGCGTCGTGATATGCGCAATCACAACATGGGAGCAGCGTGCAGTGGAGGAGGAGGTGGCGGACGAGCAGCTGGAGGAGGAGCGGATGGCCACGGGAAGGCAGGGGAGAGGAAAGGAGCGGGGCAACGACGATGAGGATGCATCCGGATCCAGAAAAGTGGCCCGCGCTGGGGCAAAAGCGCCACTCTGAATAATGGGAGCAAAACATCGATCCGAATATTGGGCCAAAGTTGCTGCAGCGGGAAGACCGTTTTGGAAGGACTGGAAAACGCTCAGACTGAAAACACACAAGAACATGAAACTCGTACAAGTATTGTGTTGAAAACAATACGCGGAGGGGGGGGGGCGCCACTCTCGGTACATCACTCTGGGGAGAGACGAAAGTATTCCCACCAGCCGCTTATGGCGCACATGGTTCAGAGCGCTTCCTCTTCCAATCCCGATTCTTCTCTTTCGGGGGAGGAGTTATAGTATCATTGTTCCCTACACCAAAAACATCCCATCCCCTAGGCGACCGGCAGCCAACCAGGACCAATGCCCCCCCCTTCCTCATCAAAAAATACGAAGCACACTCTGGGGCAAAATCGTGGGTCATGCTCGTGGGCCTCGTTAGCACTTCGTATTGTTTTTGTTGACCCAGACGGCGGGGTGCCCTCATATTACCTGCTTTGCGCAAGGCCAGCATTGTCGAAAAAACCATACAAGATACATTTCGCGGCCAAATTTGGACCATGCCCGGCCACCCCGCGATCACTTCCCATTTGTGTCGTTTGTGCTTGACAAGGACCGCGGGGGTGCTGGCATACTGCCTGCCGCGTGCGGGCCCACCGGACACCATGATGGCGTCCCCGCCGCGATTGCGCACGGGCTTTCGAGAAGTAGGATGGTGGGGGCCGACATGTTTCACGATGTGTGCTGTCACGTGCGCGGGCACACCTGGCACAATCTGCGCGTGCCCCGGACGTGGCGCACCTGGCGCGCCGGGACCATGCGGCACACATGGCGCACGTGAAACTGTTGGCGCATCTGGCGCGCGAGGCGTGCCTGGCACGCTTGGGCCCCAGGGGTGCCTGGCGCACCTGGAACACCTGGCACGCGCGGCACACTTCGACCCATCGCGAACATGGAGCCTGTAATAGTTTCCAGTAACTGCCCATCCATAGACGACCGCTGAACACGTTGCGGCCTGGGTGTTACTTCTGCGTGGGGACGGCGGGTAAAGTGTGCGAGACAGCTTGCGGGCGGGGAGGGTGTCTCGACCCTCCCCCCTACCCCTGGATTTGGAGGAGAGGTTTCGCGGGCCGTTGGAGCACCCAGGATGACATTGGCGAGAAAACAAAAATCACTGATTTAACCAAGGTGCTGGCCACATTTTTGCCTCGTGGAGGGGAGACCCACCACATGCAGTGCCGCCCCTCCTTGGATCGATATCATCCAGGATGGCTCCTACATGGCCAGGCACCCAAGAGGCCCCAAAAGATCCAAGAGACCACCAAAAGGCCCCCAAGAGGCTCCCAAGAGGCCCAAAGAAGCCCAGCAAAGACGCCCCAACAGGCCTCGGCGATAAGGCCAAAAAAAATTATCATATTCAAATCTTGGCAACGTTTTGGCCTCCCGGGGACCCCTCCTTTGATCGATCTCCTCCAACTTGGCCCCAAGATGGCCCCCGAGGCTCCCAAGGGTGCTCCAAGACAGCCCCCCCAAGATGCGCCCGGGAGGCCCCCAAGAGGCGCCCAGGAGGCCACCACAAGGTTCCCAAGAGACACCCAAGAGGCTCCAGGAGGCCCTCGCAGAGACACCCAAGACGCCCTTAGAGACCTCGACGAGAAGGCAAGCATAATTGATGCTACTCCGAGGTTAGCAACGTTTTGACCTCCTGAGGGGGTGCCACAAGGCTCCAAGAGGCCCCCAAAACACGCCTAACATGCCTCCAAAAGGCTCCTAACAAATTATCCTGGCGAAGGACACAACCATGAAGCTCCCTGTGGGGCAACGAAGCGCTGCACTGGGTGGGGGGAACGCTGTACTGAGTGGGTGGTGTGCCAAATTGGGCTTCCTGGACGCACGCGGACGCTCCCACTGGGCGCTTCGGTGGAGCTTCCTCTGGGGCCACGAAACGCTGTAATGGGTGTGTGAAGATGTCACTTTGGGCTTAGGGGACGCATGCGGACGGTGGCACTGGGGCCTCGGGTGGAGCTCCCTATGGGGCCACGAAACGCTCTACAAGGTGGGAGGAAATGTCAAATTAAGTTTCCGGGGCGCACGCGGACGGTCCCACTGGGTGTTTCGGTGGAGCTCCCTATGGAGCCACGAAACGCTGTACTGGGCGGGTGAAAGTGCCACATTGGGTTTTCTGGAAGCATGCGGACGGTGGCACTGAAGCATTCGGTGGAGCTCGGCCACGAAACGCTGTACTGGGTGAGTGAAAATGCCACATTGGGTGTTTCGGAACGCTTGCGGACAGTCCCACTGGGGCCGTCGGTGGGGTTCCCTATGAGGCCACGAAACGCTGTACTGGGTAGGTAAAAATGCCACATTGTGTTGGCGGGCCGCATGCGGGCGGCGGCACTGGGGCCTTCGGTGGAATTCCCTATGGGGCCACGAGACGCTGCACTGTTTGGGCGAAAATGCCAAATCAGGCGTTTCGGGACGCATGCGGACGGTCCCACTGGTGGTTTCGGTGGAGTTTCCTGTGGGGCCACAAACGCTGTACTGGGTGTGCGGGACGCATGCGGGCGGCAGCACTCGGACCTTCGGGGGGGCTCCCAATGAAGCCACGAAACGCTGTATCGGGTGGGTGGAACGCAGAAACGCAAGAAGCAGGGGAAGGAGGGCCACGAAACGCTGTACTGGGTGTGCGGGACGCATGCGGCCGGCAGCACTGGGGGACCTTCGGTGGGGTTCCCTATGGGGCCTCGAAACGCCGTACTGGGTGGGTGAAACGCAAAGAAAAAAGAAGAGAGGGTCACGAAACGCTGTACTGGGTGTGCGGGACGCATGCGGACGGCAGCACTGGGAACTTCGGGGGGGCTCCCTATGGGGCCACGAAACGCTGTACTGGGTGGGTGAAACTCAGGGAACAGGGGGAGGAGGGCCACGAAACGCTGTACTGGGTGTGCGCGACGCATGCAGGGGACCTTCGGTGGGGCTCCCTATGGGGCCACGAAACGCTGTACTGGGTGGGTGAAACGCAAGGAGCAGGGGGAGGAAGGTCACGAAACGCTGTACTGGGTGTGCGGGACGCATGCGCGCGGCAGCACTGGGACCTTTTTTTTTTGTTTGGACTGTTCGCCGCATACGGATGGATGATCGTCAGTGCTATCTCGGATGTAAAACTTACACCAGCAAGAGAGCAGCACGACACCTTAGCCTTCTCAAGGGTCGCTATCTGGAAGAAACGAGGCTTGCACAGGAAAGAAACAAACCGGACCAAGCCAATTGCACTTGGTGGTGCTGAACGACTCGCGCGCCACCCATAAGCCCAAAGGAACAGGGGCGTCTAGTGTACAACAAATTCTGCCTTCTAGCCAGAGGACCTGCCCTGGAAAGGAAATACTCGCAATAACAAAGCGACTGAACGACGATCGAATGGCCTAAACAGCCTCGATCGAATGAACATTGAGGGCTCAGGAACCGGGGGAATGGAGACATCAAAGATACCGACGGTGCCGCCGAACGGCCTTTAATTGCAATATCGCTGGAGTTAATGGTATAACTGGTATCGCGAATGTGTTGAAGGCGTTACTGGTATCGCGGATATAACATGCATCGCCGGCGTCGTCGGTATTTCCGTCATCGTGAACTATAGCTGATGTCATTTGTATTGATCCGCGCCGTGTTATTTTGCATACCGACCAAGCGCCCAAGGTTGAGCCACGGTGCAACAAAAACATGGGTGCACCGAGTCCACCCACACACTCGCTCGGAGGAGTGTATATATACACTAATCCATTCCCCGGGTGTAGAATTTATAGCAGTTTTTTTTTTCGGTGCCGCTTGTTTTCCATTGCTTTTTCGTTTACATGTGCTTCATTTTCCCTCTGCTGCACCGCGCGTCTTCCTCCTCATTTACCCACCTCCCCCCGCCCCCCTCCGCTCGCAGCCGCGTCCGCTGCGTTGCCTGCTGCATGCTGCTGGTGGACCGTCGTTACCATCCGCTGCCGTTGCTGCGAACGTCGTGATCAGTTCGGTAATCCCCTCGCACGGATCGTGCCCCATATGAAGCTTCATCGACCATCCTGGCAGGGGCGTACTTAAAGTGTCTCCGCGCTCATTTCGGCACGCCCCCCAGCGCGGACTGCAGCCCGCAATGGGCTCCACCCGCAGGCTCAAGGGGGGCGCCCCCAAAGCTTATCCGCAACCACTGCGGCACGCCTTTCCCGCGGCTCGCGCCACTGATGGAATTTCGCCTACGGCCGTCGCGGGGGCGCTCCAAGTGCGCCTCCATGCCCGCGTCGGCACGCCCCTCGCGAAGATCGCGCCCATACAGTTGTGGCCCCATTTGGAATTCCCACGGCGTCTCCGCTCCCGTTTTTGGCACGCCTTTTCAAGCGGATGGCGCCCCACAAGGAGCGCCGCGTACAAGCCCAGTAAGGGCAGTCATATTTGCGCATGGCGTAATCGTGCAAATGTCTGCTTGCGTTTGAACAGATCGTGCTCCGCATGGCGGCTCCGCGCACGGCCCTGGCGCGGAGGCCCCCCCCCCGGCTATGTCGTCGCACCTTTCAATCAGGTTGTGCTCCCTGTGGAGCTTCACCTGCAGTCCCAGCGGGGGCGTCCGCATGCGGTCGCCCACTTTCCATGGCCACGGGGGACTATGCAAAATCCGGAAACTATAGGAGAAAAATCCAAGGCCCGATTGGTGTATAAAATTTCGGGACGACGAAAATTTCGGAATGTATCAGGCAGAACGGCCCGCCGAAATTTTATACACCGATCAGGCCATAGGAATTCGCCCTATGAGCCTCCCAGAATTTCTGTGGCCCCGGTGACCCGGGGCTTCGCTCCCAGCCACCGATAGAACCGGCCACGGGCAGGCCGTGGCAGGCGGTGGTGCCCCATTTGTGTAGGATTGGAAACCACATCACAATACCTTGACGCTCCGTTTTCGTTTTTTAGGGGGTTAGAGGGGACGGAGAGGGCGGCAGGGATACGGGGCCTGGATGGAGCGATTGGGGGGGGGGATCGGGGCAGAGACGGGTGGGGAGTGAGAGGGAAAGGGAGGGGCTGGCGGGCGCAGGGAACGGGAGTGGGAGCGGGGAGTTCCGAGCGAAAGGCATGGGAGCGGGGAGGGGGATGGGTGAACGGACAGTGGGGGGTGGAGGAACGCAGGGGGGGGGAGGGAAGGAGTCTGTGAACGGAGACGGAGGCTGGAGGCGAGGTCGTGGCGGGGTCAATGGGGGGGCGATGGTGAGTTGGGAAGGGGGGGAGGGTGATCGTGGGGACGCGGGCCCGTCGCCCATATTTGGCTCAAACCCCCTTGGCGGCATCATTTCCAATCGGGCCAGAGTTTGTACTCCTCCCCTCCCCAATGTGGTGGATGGGTTGGGGTGCTGGCGAGCAGGCCCGCGCGCGTTCCCCGGCCAGCGTGCGGCCCTGTTTAAATTTTCTCGCGTGCCCGGCTACGGGCACGCATTCATGGCCTCGAAACGAGGCACCCCTCGCCTAGAGACGGCATCACCACCATGGGCGGCGGTTTTCCGCCATGGGTGCCGGGGCCGCTGCGGCCTTGCCCGCCCCTGGACAAACGCGCCCAGGCGGGGCGCATGGCGCTTGCTCCCTCTATCGGCCACTGCGCCAAAACCGCTTTGGCCCAACACTCAAAACAAAAATCGGCCCGAACAGGTCGGTGTATATACACACACTCGGCCGCACAAGCGTCCCGAGCTTCTCGTAAACTTGTGCTGGTAGCCGCCGTGCCTCATCCCCCAGCGACCGTTGGAACCGGGTCACGGTAGATGGCCTCAACGCGCGGAGCTGTACCGATCAGCCAGCGTGCGCAGCGCTCTCCTACCAGGGGAATGGACGCCAGCCTGCCCAAGCCCATGGCACTGATCACGAACGACAACATGCCGAACAAGTTGTACGCAACGGCTGTAGGCTGATACATCGCGGCCAGACCCAAAGTGTTAACAAGCGCATCCATTGCAACCAGCCAGACCAGAAGTTTATACGTGACATAAACAATGAAACTTCTGTGGTCCCGGGAAGACGCCGCGAATATGATGAGATGCATCACAGGATAACCACACTGTGTTGCCTGCCACGATGCTATGCCCGCCGCGGACTCGAGCTGCAGTAACCCTGGCCTGTACAGGCCCAGGCAGAGGAAAATCCAGCATGACCACAGGAGGTAGGCTGGCCCCCACTGAATGAAGCTCAACCTCTCCACGGCGATCCCCAGGCTCGCGCCCTTTCGCATCGATGCAGTCGACATGCCGGTCTTCAGCAAGACACGAATGGACTGATCGACTCTTGCAATTTCATCCCCAATGCATCCGACTATGCTCGTCCTATCGCCTTCCAGTGCGCACGAGGACTCAAGGACCGTCCCACTAAAACCCAGGCCAAGCCGCACAAGGTCTGCCTGGCGCAGTGTCCCTCGCACACCGTCTATCGCCAAGAGCATGGGCACGACTGACATCCACATCCAACCGATGGTTGTGACATGTGCTGTGCTGGACAGAGTGCCTTCCACTGCGTTGGGAATCCACTGGCGCCGAATCATCACGCACGCGTTGAACGCCGTGAGCACGGAGGAGAGATAAATGGACACGGTGCGTCGCAGGCCTGGCGCTGAAAGCGAAGCGTGCACAAGAGAAATCACATACGCAGGCATCGTAAACCACCAGGTCACGTTGGCTACCAAGTCCGAGCGCAGCATTCCATCAGTCATACAGACCATGCCCAAAGCCGCAGTGACAACCATCGTCAAGAATGGGCCACATACGGTGTTCAACACCGCTCTGGTCCCCATGGGCGTCCCAGCAGTGAAGATTTCCTTTCCCCAACAGTAGGCCAGATAAGCCTCGTAACAACACCATAGACGAGTGTAGATACCGACGGTCTGGTTTGGCACCGCAATCACGTGGGTAGCGTGTGACAACGCACGGGCGAATGGCGATGCCGAAGGGCTTGATATCATGCTTGCGAGGAAATCGCCGTTCTGAGGGTTGGACAGCATACAAGCGTATGCAGAACGTTTGCCCCACGGCCAAGACGCGAGAACTTTATCGATGAACTCGTAAACACCTTCACACCACGCATGTGTGATGAATACTTCGCACTCGATACCGTCCGGGTGATGCGTGAGGGCATAACTGGCACCGCCTGAAGGCCCATCAATATCCGTAAGAGGCTTTATCAATTGGTCCACGACCGTGTAGATGTTGGGACCAACTTTGGTGTCCTTGGGGTCGAACGGATCACTGCTCGTGCTCCGGATCCGCCCTTGCGCGATCGCCGTTGTCACATCCTTGCGCAGCTGGCTCAGGTCAGATTTCGTGATGCACCATCTCTCAGCTCCGATGCGGTAGTGAAGGTCCTCACCTGGCGTGGCCGCGCGCGAACTCGTTCGCGAGATCGTGCCTCGCGTGTCCGCGTGCTCTGTGTTCGCGCGCGAGTGAGTTCGCGTGCTCACGCTCGAGTCGCCGCTCTCCTGGCCTGCCGGGGCTCCCTCTGGCGGCGTGCCATCGCTCGCCCCTGGTGTGCCCGCGCGCGGGCTGGCCATGTTCACGCGCAAGCTCATGGCCCGACCGACGGAGGGGTCCCTCCCGAGACGAGGACGTGCATCGTCCAGCGCTCTCGGGAATCAGATCGGTGGAGCCCCTTGAGCCAAAATGGCTGCGGAGGGCAGCACTGGGACCTTTGGTGGGGCTTCCTATGGGCCACGAAACGCTGTACTGGGTGCCTCTTGGGCCGTCTGGGGTGCCCCCACAAGCCGACCCTTTTGGGCCGTCTGGGGCCCTCTTGGGTCTCTTTTGGGCTGTCTTGGGGCTCCGCAGGGAGGCGTCTGGAGCACTGTGAAGACGAAGCAATCGAGCATGATGAAAATGTACGTTTTACGATGGAAAGGAGAGGCTTCCAGGAACATGATTTCGAACGGGGCCTTCTTGGGCCTCCCTGAGGCCGTCTTGGAAGCCTCCCTGAGGCCGGCTTCGGGGCCTCTTGGGCCGTCTTGGGGGCTTCCGTGAGCCCCACAGGCCGACCCTTTTGGGCCGTCTGGGGCCCTCTTGGGTCTCTCTTGGGCTGTGTTGGGGCTTCTCGGGGGCGTCTGGGGCACTGCGAAGACGAAGCCAGCGAGTATGCCGAAAACGCACGTTTTACGAAGGAAATGGGCCGATGTTTGCCTCTTGAAGGCCCTCTCGGGGTCCTCTTCGGCCATCTTCAAGCCATCTCGGGCCCTCTGGGGCCTCGCTGAGGCTGTCTTGTGGGCCTCTTGGGCGTCCTCCGAACCCAGAAATCATGTTCCCTGAGAGGTTTCTGGGAACATGATTTCGAACGAGGCCCTCTTGGGCCTCCCTGAGGCCGTTTTGCGGGCCTCCTGGGCCGGCTTTGGGGCCTCTTGGGCCGTCTCGGGGGGTTCCGTGAGCCCCACAGGACGACCCTTTTGGGCCGTCTGGGGCCCTCTTGGGTCTCTCTTGGGCTGTGTTGGGACTCCGCGGGGGCCTGGGGGCACTGTGAAGACGAAGCCAGCGAGTATGCCGAAAACGTAAGTTTTGCGAAGGAAATGGGTAGATTTGTGCCTCTTGAAGGCCCTCTTGGGGCCCTCACAGGTCCTCTTGGGGCGCCTTCGGGCGTCTTCGGGGCCTCTTCAAGCTTTCTTGACCATCTGTACGGCCCGCGTGGCCTGTCGTGGGCAATTTGGAAGCGGCCCGGGGCAGTCCCGAGAGGTCTGTGACCACCCAAAGGTTCGGGGGGGCGGCCATGGGGGATGACGGCACCGATTTTGCCCCCCCCCCCCGGAGTTCCGTGGACACGTCTTGGCCGCCTCTGGAGCACGCCTTGGCCTCCTCTGGAACTGTCTTGGGCTCCTCTGGGCCGTATTGGGAGCCTCTTGGGCCGTCTTGGGGCCGTCGTGGGGGCCTCCTGTACCCTCGTGCACGCCGTGAAGACCGAAAAGACGTAGATGCAAATGATCCTGGCAAAGCAACCTAACAGCAATGTGTATAAGCATATCTGGAAGCATTCCCCTTAAGATTCAGGTGAGAATCCAGTTGTAGAATTATGCTGTTCTCGCAGTCGCAGTCGCATTCGCAATGACAGTCGCAGTCGCAATCCATAGAAATCCTTAGGAAACCTTAGGAATCCTCAGGAATCCTGATTCCTAGGGATTCCCAGGGATTCCTAAGGATTCCTCGGGAATCCTAAGGATTCCGAAGGATTCGCCTGCCTCGGCCTCAGCCTCAGCCTGCCTCAGCCTCAGCCTGCCTCAGCCTCAGCCTCAGCCTCAGCCTGCCTCAGCCCGAGGCCTCAGCCTGCCTCAGCCTCAGCCTCAGCCTCAGCCTCAGCCTCAGCCTGCATCAGCCTCAGCTTGCCTCAGCCTCAGCCACAGCCTCAGCCTCAGCCTCAGCCTGCCTCAGCTTCAGCCTCAGCCTCAGCCTGCCTCGGCTTGCCTCAGCCTCAGCCTCAGCCTGCGCCTCAGCCTGCCTCGGCCTCAGCCTCAGCCTCAGCCTGCCTCAGCCTCAGCGTCAGCCTCTCAGCCTCAGCCTGCATCAGCTTCAGTCTCAGCCTCAGCCTGCCTCAGCCTCAGTCTCAGCCTGCCTCAGCCTCAGCCTGCCTCAGCCTCAGCCTCAGCCTGCCTCGGCCCTCAGCCTGCGTCAGCCTCAGCCTCAGCTTGCCTCAGCCTCAGCCTGCCTCAGCCTCAGCCTCAGCCTGCCTCGGCGTGCCTCAGCCTCAGCCTCAGCCTGCCTCGGCCTCAGCCTGCCTCGGCCTCAGCCTGCCTCGGCTTCAGCCCGCCTCAGCTCGGGCATTCAAAATATGGCACAGGACTGGTGTTCTGGGAACACGAAGATCACGAAGTGGCCCACAGTTGGCTCCGGGCAATCAAAATATGGTACGGGAAAAAAATTCTGGGAACACGAAGAACACGAAGTGGCCTACAGTTGGCTCCGGGCGTTCAAAATGTGGCCTGGGAATGGTGTTCTGGATACACGAAGAACACGAAGTGGCCTACAGTTGGCTCCAGGCATTCAAAATGTGGCCTGGGAATGGTGCTCAACACGAAGAACACGAAGTGGCCTACAGTTGGCTCCAGGCATTCAAAATGTGGCCTGGGGATGGTGTTCTGGGAAAACGAAGAACACGAAGTGGCCTACAGTTGGCCCCGGGCATTCAAGAAGTGGCCTGGGAATCGTGTTCTGGGAATGGATTCCTAAGGATTCCTAAGAATTCCTAAGGATTCCTAAGGATTCCTGGGGCTGACCCTTTTGTCCGGCTTTGTCCGGATCCCGCCCAGACCCCCCTGGGGCGTCAAGATGCTCTCTTTTGAGCCCACTAGAAACCTATCAGTCTTCGCTGTTACGCAATTATCCCGGCAAAGCAACCTAACAGCAATGTGTATAAGCATATCTGGAAGCATGCCCCTTAAGATTCAGGTGAGAATCCAGTTGTAGAAGTCTGCTGTTCTCGCAGTCGCAGTCGCATTCGCAATGACAGTCGCAGTGGCAACGGCCTCAGCCTCAGCCTCAGCCTCAGCCTGTCTCGGCCTGAGCCTGCCTCGGCCTCAGCCTCAGCCTGCCTCAGCCTCAGCCTGCCTCAGCCTCAGCCTCAGCCTGTCTCAGCCTCAGCCTGCCTCAGCATCAGCCTCAGCCTCAGCCTCGGCCTGCCTCGGCTTGCCTCGGCCTCAGCCTCAGCCTGCCTCGGCCTCAGCCTCAGCCTCAGCCTCAGCCTCAGCCTCAGCCTCAGCCTCAGCCTCAGCCTGCAGCCTCAGCCTGCATCAGCCTCAGCCTCAGCCTGCCTCAGCCGCAGCTTGCCTCAGCCTCAGCCACAGCCTCAGCCTCAGCCTGCCTCAGCTTCAGCCTCAGACTCAGCCTGCCTCGGCTTGCCTCAGCCTCAGCCTCAGCCTGCCTCGGCCTCAGCCTCAGCCTCAGCCTCAGCCTGCCTCAGCCTCAGCGTCAGCCTCTCAGCCTCAGCCTGCATCAGCGTCAGCTTCAGCCTCAGCCTGTCTCAGCCTCAGTCTCAGCCTGCCTCAGCCTCAGCCTGCCTCAGCCTCAGCCTCAGCCTGCCTCGGCCCTCAGCCTGCCCTAGCCTCAGCCTCAGCTTGCCTCAGCCTCAGCCTGCCCTAGCCTCAGCCTCAGCCTGCCTCGGCGTGCCTCAGCCTCAGCCTCAGCCTGCCTCAGCCTCAGCCTGCCTCGGCCTCAGCCTGCCTCAGCTCGGGCATTCAAAATGCGGCACAGGACTGGTGTTCTGGGAACACGAAGATCACGAAGTGGCCCACAGCTGGCTCTGGGCAATCAAGATATGGTACAGGAATAAGTTTCTGGGAACACGAAGAACACGAAGTGGCCTACAGTAGGCTCCGGGCATTCAAAATGTGGCCTGGGAATGGTGTTCTGGGAACACGAAGAAAACGAAGTGGCCTACAGTTGGCTCCGGGCATTCAAGAAGTGGCCTGGGAATCGTGTTCTGGGAATGGATTCCTAAGGATTCCTAAGAATTCCTGAGGATTCCTAAGGATTCCTGGGGCTGACCCTTTTGTCCGGTTTTGTCCGGATCCCGCCCAGACCCCCCTGCGGAGTCAAGATGCTCTCTTTTGAGCCCACTAAAAACCAATCGGCAAAAGCTGTTAGGTAAAAATGCACGTTTTCCTATGCAAATTTAACTATCCCGGCAAAGCAACCTAACAGCGATGTGTATAAGCATATCTGGAAGCATTTCCCTTAAGATTCAAGTGAAAATCCAGTTGTAGAATTCTGCTGTTCTCGCAGTCGCAGTCGCATTCGCAATGACAGTCGCAGTGGCAACGGCCTTAGGATGCAATGGAATCCTAAGGATTCCTAAGAATTCCTGAGGCATCCTTAGGCATCCTGAGGAATCCATAGGAATCCTTAGGAAACCTTAGAAATCCTCAGGAATCCTCATTCCTATGGATTCCCATGGATTCCCAAGGATTCCTAGGGAATCGTAAGGATTCCGAAGGATTCGCCTGCCTCGGCCTCAGCCTCAGGCTGCCTCAGCCTCAGCCTGCCTCAGCCTCAGCCTCAGCCTGTCTCAGCCTCAGCCTGCCTCGGCATCAGCCTCAGCCTCAGCCTCAGCCTGCCTCGGCTTACCTCGGCCTCAGCCTCAGCCTGCCTCGGCCTCAGCCTCAGCCTCAGCCTGCCTCAACCTCAGCCTCAGCCTGCCTCAGCCTCAGCCTGCATCAGCCTCAGCCTCAGCCTGCCTCAGCCGCAGCTTGCCTCAGCCTTAGCCACAGCCACAGCCTCAGCCTCAGCCACAGCCTCAGCTTCAGCCTCAGCCTCAGCCTGCCTCGGCTTGCCTCAGCCTCAGCCTCAGCAAGCCTCGGACTCAGCCTCAGCCTCAGCCTGCCTCAGCCTCAGCGTCAGCCTCTCAGCCTCAGCCTGCATCAGCCTCAGCCTCAGCCTCAGCCTCAGCCTCAGCCTCAGCCTCAGCCTCAGCCTCAGCCTCAGCCTGCAGCCTCAGCCTCAGCCTGCAGCCTCAGCCTGCATCAGCCTCAGCCTCAGCCTCTGCCTCAGCCGCAGCCTTGCCTCAGCCTCAGCCACAGCCTCGGCCTCAGCCTCAGCCTGCCTCAGCCTCAACCTCAGCCTCAGCCTGCCTCGGCTGCCTCAGCCTCAGCCTCAGCCTGCCTCAGCCTCAGCCTCAGCCTCAGCGTCAGCCTCAGCCTCAGCCTCAGCCCTCAGCCTCAGCCTCAGCCTCAGCCTCAGCC